TTTTGTTCGCACTCCGGTGGTGACGGAGAAATCTAGGTGGTCACGACGTACAGAGGCAGGTGGCTCGGGAACGAGCAAGATCAGAGTACCTACTCCTCCTGCCCCTCCGTCCGGCTCAGCTGCGACGGAGGTCCTCCCGATTCCTCCGCCTGGTTCAATCAGAGCAGAGCATGAGAAACACTTTGAAGCACATAAAGAACCATCAAGTCCCACAGAGGTGCCATCAAATGAGGGGACAAAGCATGTTCCCAAGAAAGCAGCAAAGCCCCCGGAGGCCTCAGGCAATCCGGAAATCCCTGGGACAGACACTGGAGCCGAGGACATCTGTACGATCTTCCCATATGAAGGGGACCCACAGCTCCTCGAATCCATGGATGACGAGACTTATCCTTTTGGACCAGCATCTGATAAAATGTTTCGCAGATTGAGTCTCCCGCCTGCTCCTGACAAAAGACAGAGCCAGCCACTATCCACGGACCCTAACGACGGGGACCAAGACGTCACAGTGGGGCATGCTGTTTTATTCAAGGACAAACGGCTATATGTAACGGCAGAGGAACGTCGACAGATACTTCGGAATACGCCTGGACCACTGAAACAAAAGGTCCATGATGCACACATTACAGGTCCCGTTCCGCCGCACATCGAAGCCATCCGCAATCGAACGGGCAATGCGCTTCGATATATGGCCGAGTTTGTAGAATACCCAATGTTTGCAATGTTGGGGAGTCTCAATCAGGACGATGGCACTTTCGCACGGGCAAAGGATTACCTTAGCTGAATTTCATTCCGATGATGTTCCAGATGGGTTTACCCCGGGGGCCTACGCATACCTTCAGCCACTGGTCGTTGGAGAAGATAATGAAGAAAATCCGGCTGCTTTGGGCAGCTCGGACACTTAGTGCGCCCTGAGCTGCAGAACGGACGTACTGGCCAAGAAAATAGGCCAGTGCGCTGTATACCTCGCAAGGCATTGTTCTGACTATTCTAGATCGTCGGGAGGCTGGGTCTACTTTGGAGACCTAGTACAGAAGATTAAAGACGACGGTTTTACTTTTCAATCGTACGCCCTTGCCGCACACAGCTCAGCTGCGCTGCCGTCAGGGACGGGCGAAGTTTTGGGAATCTTTCCCAACGATAGTCACAGGATTATTGGAACCAAAATCCACGCTATGTGGACACGGTATAAGGAGTGCCCATCGCAAGAAGAAGACAGAGGAGAGACACCGATACCCATGTTCTATCGAGCATGTCAGGGACATTCAACATTTGCTGCTTCCATTGAAAGGATGTATGTCCCATACGACCCTGGCCAAGTCAGGAGTCACGGCTCTCTTCTTCATATCACAGATTTACAAACATTCTTGGAATCTACGAGTGGAAGAGTTCGCTTCCCAACGAGCGACTCTGGGCTTTGTCTGGGCGCAGACTATGAATTATTGCGATTGCTTCCGGCGAACAATAGCCCAACAATGCCTGATCCCTCAAACATTCTTCCGTGGCTCAGCCAGCGGAGGCACGGACAGCCTCTCGCTGCAAGAAGTCTAGTGCCCATGAATTACCCAGCTCAGAGAGGGGAGCCGCCATCGGTGGGGACTTGGCCCGCAGAAGACACCAACCACCTATGGCAACATCTTCCCAATCACCGTGAGCTATGGGAGCTTGTCCTTGTTTTTACCGGCCGAGTGCTCACTCGCTTCTCGCACAGGGTTTGCCCAGACGGGACCCTAGTGTCTCGAGAAGTGCCGAGGTTCACTGACATCGACAAAGCCGTCTCTCTCGTGAGACAGGCAGATCAGATGCGCTGGTCAGTGCTCTTCAATCGCGAGTTGTCTTCATATGAGGTTACTTTCGACAACGAGTCGATTATTGCCTGGATTCATACAGACGAGAGAGTAATATTGTCGTGGAACCACTGGCCAACGCTGTCAAACGAAATCCAGGATCGAGTTCTATCCGTCCCTTGGGAAGACGACGGGAGGTTCCTGTGCTACCGTTATCACTGGGTGAGGACGGGTTTTGCAAACTGTCCTGTCTGCAGTTGTCCAGTTAAATACAAATACAAGGTCACGCACGATTACATGACCCAGACATGGAACAACGGCGTTATCCCTCGGTCCCTTGAGGCGAATGGCCTCATAGTAGCGGTGGATAATGAACAGGATCTTTCATGGGAGCGCCATCAAAATATAAAGGCGCGTGCAAACAGACAAGCGAGAGCTTCTGCCAATGTCGTGAAGAACATCAGCAACAATAATCAGCAGGAGCGAAAATGGGCCACTGGAGAGTTTACTAAAATGGCGTCCGCTGGACAGATATTCGGCAATAGTCTGCCGGGTAACTTTCCGGCTTGGGTTCCAGAAAGCGCCGTGGCTCAGCCGCCGGCGCGCCATGCCCCTTTCTTCCAATATTTGAGGCCTTTGGTCAGAAGGTTCATATCGTGGCTTGAGTATTCAGCCAGAAACGTGGGCAGGCAGACCCCGGCAATTCATACCTGGTGGCCGAAATTGTGGGAAACTAAGTTTGACCAGTATGCTCGCCCAAGGTCTTGCCCAGCCCTGGAGGCCTTTCACTGGCCGAACGAAGAGGACGACTTAGCCACTCCATTGAGAGGCTGGGATAGGTGGTATAGCGACATGACTAGATCAAATGTCTTTGTTCCGACGCTTCAAACTATAGATGGCGCGGTAAATTTAGGGAGACCATGGCTACCCATGCAGAATGCAGGCGCCCTGGAAGAAGAAAATAGGGCCAATGCCGGAGAGAACAATCCCCCTGCTCGATTACCACTTGCCTGGGAGGACAATTTTAGAGCGAGGCCGACTCGCAGTTCTCAGTCCGTCTCAAGACGGATTAGTGAGTGACGGGACCACCGCCTCATTGTCCCGGCGTTGCGACATGCCACCGGCGAAGCCGCGATGGCAGGCGAAAGCTCACAGATGGAATTGGACCTTTCAGCAATCAGCGGGCCTAAGGCCGCGCTGATAACCGACGGAACGATCACTCTTGATCATTCTGAAGGACACGTGCACAACCACCGCGATGATCCTTCGATTAAGATAACGTTGTTCGGGACAGAGGTTCGGGCAGTTGCAGCTCATTATGTCGTTGAACACACAGGCGCAAGTCCTACTAATCCTGGCAAGGTTACCCTGACTGGAACTACAGAACATGAGATCCCGGAGATCATCAAGACCATAGTAGATGACAAGTGGTTGGCCTCTGTACAGCAAATGCAAGTGGGCCTACGGCCCATAAGGATTTTGCGATTGCCCGCGAAATCATCAGCTTCTTCATATCAGAAGGATATTTTATTGGTTACCCGGGGCGAATCATTCGCCCCGATATGGCGTGCACGGATGATATTGCTACGAAACGACGGACAGACGAGCATGCCCTTGACTGCCGCATTCGTGCCGCTGTTCAAACGGACGACATAATAGAAAAATGGGCCCATAATATGGGCACTAAAGTGCAAAATGATGTCCGTTGCCACGGTGCTCTTATACAAGAAGCCATTTCTTGGCTTCAGGATAAATATCCTGGCCCTGGAACAGAACTCCAGGACAAAGATCATGGACACTTCCGTACTGCATGCGGAAGGTATGGTGTCGCTGCGGCGACAGCTGCCAGGAGTTTAATACAGTTCATGAGAAATCGTAAGAACGATGATCCAGACCACGACGGCGAAGCCGATCTCGTGGGACCACGAAGGGCGACGGATGGAGCGAAGGCTAGACCTTTATCGCGCCCTCCGCCTCTTAGACCTGGCGTCTCAGACGTTCGGGTTTCCGAAGAAGCCACTGAGTCCCCGCGTTCTGTCGCCGGCTCCGCCGTGACGACTAGGGAGACATACCTTCAGCATCCCAGCACAGGGGATCGGTCGGATTCCCGGCGCGCGCGCGATGGGGCCATGGATGCTGCCAGCGGCGCTGCGGACTACGACTACGAGTGCGATCCGTCCGTGTCCTACCCGCGCTACGTGAACAAAATACATGCCGGGTACTACGTCCATCGGAACAGGATCACGTGGCTGCCCGACGACGAGTGGTATACTCTGGACTACTGGCACGCGCTGTCTACCCACGAGCACGAGACACGCTTCCCGTCAAAAGGGAAAGCATCCAAGAGCAACACTGACAAAGGAAAGGGGCGGTCCCGCTCGCCTCGCGGCGGACATGGACAAACTGGAGGATCGGCGTCGTCGAACCCGCCGCCTCCGGCGCCACCCAGGGCAGAGGACGAGCTCAACCCGTTTGAGGACTTGAACTGAGTTTCGCCCGCGTGACTCAGTCGCGGCAGGCGCATGCAAGACAATTTTATCCACGCGCGGCACGCGTGTTGGATGTGAAATTACCTCTACTGGTCGGCAAAGCCGGTCCAGCGGAGAGAATTTATTTAACATGATGGTGGGAATCGTCGAGCCTCTTCGGCCCTTGGCCCCCTGGCAGCCACCGTTGAGCCGTAAAAGGTTTTTGGGGTTGGCTCCGGTGGTTGTGCATATGTACAGGCCAGGGGCGCCGTGGCTGGATGGGCTCTACGAGGCCCGCCGCGGGGGGAGTTCATATGCTCCTCTCCGCCTCATATTCAATTAGAATTTCAGATAACTTGCATGCATTGCACTGTCCGCCTGAACTAATGCTGCATTCCGCAGCTGCATGGATTGCTCAAACAAGCCAGCCTTGGCTTGCAGGAGAGAAAAGGAGCGCGCCAGCCCCCGGCCGTCGCGCGTCGTCGGTCGTAGGCCAGCCGGCCTCCTCCCTTCACATTCCTGATAGAGTAATCTTGCTTAACGGATACTTGTCTTATCGATGTCTCATCCCGTCCCCTCTCTCCCTGAGCAGAGTGAACGTGAGATCTTAATTCCTTTGACATCTTATCCCGATTCTCAGAGGAAAGACTGGAAGGGTCGCCCTAGCAAACCGCAGAAACCTTGCGAGAAAGCTAGCAGGCTGTTCGAAACGACCCAAAAATGTGCCGAGGGCACAGTGGCGGATTAGCCATCGCCTTCTACATCAATGTCAACAGCCCAAAAAGTGCGAGTCAGGGGACCATTGAATCGCTTGTCGATTTTGTCCAGATTGTTCAGACCCTGAGCCGATTGGACATCGTTGCTCCGGACGCCCTTCAAAGTTTCTTTGACCTGTTAAATCTGTTTACGATCCCAGGGATATTCAAAACCCTTGACTTCAAGCCCGAGTGCACTTTCGGCACCTTTGGCGGCACTATCACGTACAGCATACTGAAAGACACGTTGACGCCGCTCGTACTATTCTTCAACCTTGCGATGATGCAAGTTTTGTTCATTCTGTGCGGGAGGACTCTGAGGCGCGATTTTGTACACAATTTGGTATGCCTCGTCTTCGCCAACTTGTTCATTTCTTTGGTGACGCTCTCGTTCTCGCTTTTCTACACGGAGCGAATGCCGAATGGCAAGAACATGGTCATCGCTTTCCCGCAGTTGGAGTACGGCACCTCTTCGTGGAAGGTGTATTTGCCTATCAATTTGTTTGCATCGGTTTCGTATGGGCTCACCATGTATAGCTATGTGGCGTATACTGTTTTCACTGCCCCCAGGAGAGTTGGCACCGAACCCGGATTCCTTGCTCGGTACAGGTTCTGTTTCGGCACAAAGCGTCCAGACCGTTGGTGGTGGATCATGGTTAAGATGTCTTTTGGATTATCGCTCTGCCTCGTGCAGGTGGTCCTCCCAGCCAAAAATGTGCACGCTCATGTTTACACGAGCGCGTTGTTCATGTTCTTGGTGACTGTAATCATGTACGGTGCTTGGCCTTGGAAGTTTGACTCCAATAATTGGGTAGAGCTGATGTGCAAAATTGGTTTGATCATCCTCTTGATGCTCACCACTTCTTTCATTGACGTGAACAGCGTCCCGCAGATAGAGCTCGAGCAGATGAGGAACATTTGGGCTTTCCTAATAATTTGCACGTTGGTGATTATTTTTATTGTTGCCCTCGCTCTGTTTACGAAAGACCTCATATTCTCAATGCACCGTGTCCGCATAAAGCAGGTCAGAACAGCACAAGCCATGTGGCATCTTCGCGACATGTCACTGGCTTTGCTGATGATGCCGGAGAAGGAGTACGCCAGGAGGTTGGCCGCCATTGGCGACAGCGATCGCGCCCTGCTCTTGGAGGTGACCAAGAACATCAAAAATGTCATATTCGGTCAGCAAGAGAGTTCGCACTGGACACAACAGCGGCTAATCGCCGGGAAGGAGCATGAGGTTTGGGATCACGGCAAGAGAGTGATCGGTTTTCTCCAGGAGTCAAAGTCGGGCCGCTTGCAGGAGAGGTTGGAACAGAGCATGCAATTTCGCATGCATTCGCTGAAGTTGGCAAGGGCGATATCGCAGTCACGCCCGACGATTTCATCATCATCATCATCGCGTCTCAAAGCAGTGCCCATGTTGCGCTATGGCAGCATTTCCAGTCGCCATTCGGACATCCGTAGCGTTATGAAGAGCGTGAGAAGCCTCCCTTCAGAAGAAGTGGGCACTAACTGGACAAATGGCATTGCTGACTGGATGAAGAGGATGATTTTTTCGGACGCTGAGTTGACGAAAGATGCTTTCAGGAGGAAGATTTTTACTAGCTTCCCACATTTGAATATCCCAGAAGATGGGCTCGACATGCTTTTCAGCGTTCTGGATAACAACGGATCGGGTACCGTCACCCACCAGAAACTCACCGATTTGCTTGCAGCTCTAGCACCAAGGAAGGTTTTGCTGGCAATGGATCCTGACGATGAAGAAGACGATGCGGTTGACTCTGATGACACCTCGCCGATACAGACACCCCAGTCGGGGGGGGAGGGGGAGAATGAAAATGAAGATGTGCCTGCAAATGCGGAAACCCGCTTGGCGCCGCCGGGAAGGAGTCTGAGCTGGTCAGGTTCTTGCGCAATCAGGTCAATAAGCACGACGAGCGAGACCAATCAGATTGTAGACGAGGAAGACTCCTCCTCCTCCTCCTCGTCCTGCTACTCCTCCTCCTCCCCCTCCTCCCCCTCCTCCTCCTCCTCCTCCTCCTCCTTCTCCTCCTCCTCCTCCTCCTCCTCCTCCTCCTCCTCCTCCTCCTCCTCCTCCTCCTCCTCTCCTCTTCCCCAGGGTATTGAGATTTGAGCTGCTCACGCCGACGGCGAGGAGCAGATCTTCACCGGTGAGCTCTCGCGAGACCTGGACGTGAAGTTCTCGGGCAGCCCTTCCCTCATGCCAGAGGCCGTACAAACTTCGGCCATAATTCGTCGGCAGTGATATCGGCACTCCTCCTCATCTTCCTCCTCCTCCTTCTCATCCTCCTTCTCCCCTCTCCACTTCCCTCCTCCCCTCTCCACTTCCCTCCCTCCTCCTTCTCCGCCGCCAGGCAGGGCAGCAAATAGATCGAAGGCTGGGGGGTGAGATCGCAGTGGAAAGGAGAACCCCCCACGGGGAAGTCGGTTTCGGTTTCGTGCTCGTGTCGTGCGTGCGGGCGAGGCGAAGCTGTGTGGACGCGCGAGAAGACCCCACCGTCGCTGGGGCGATTCGGATGCAGTGGACCGCCCCTCCGCCCCCAGTGGGCGCGCGGTGGCCCGGGGTGTCCCGCCGTGGTATCTTGTGGTGCCCCGTTGGTCTCCCGTCGGTGTTCCGGTTTCCGTCGGCGGTGGGCGGGCGGTGGCTGTGGATGTCCCTCCTTGGTTTTGATAGTGAAGTCGATAGTGAGATCGATAATAAGACCACTAGTGTGGGATGGATTATAAGAAAATATTTTAAAGAAATAAGAAATATCCCGGCAAAGCAACCTAACAGCGATGTGTAGGAGCATATCTGGAAGCATTCCCCTTAAGATTCAGATGAGAATCCAGTTGTAGAATTCTGCTGTTCTCGCAGTCGTAGTCGCATTCGCGACGACAGTCGCAGTGGCAACGGCAGTCGCACTCACAGCCTCAGCCTCAGCCTGCCTCAGCCTCAGCCTCAGCCTGCCTCAGCCTCAGCCTGCATCAGCCTCAGAATCAGTCTGCCTTCAGCCTCGGCCTCAGCCTCAGCCTGCCTCTGCCTCAGCCTCAGCCTGCTTCAGCCTCACCCTCAGTCTGCCTTCAGCCTCGGCCTCAGCCTCAGCTGCCTCAGCCTCAGCCTGCATCAGCCTCAGCCTCAGCCTCAGCCTGCCTCAGCATCAGCCTGCCTCAGCCTCAGCCTCAGCCTGCCTCAGCCTCAGCCTCAGCCTGCCTCAGCCTCAGCCTCAGCCTCTGCCTTCAGCCTCGGCCTCAGCCTCAGCCTGCCTCAGCCTCAGCCTGCATCAGCCTGCCTCAGCCTCAGCCTCAGCCTCAGCCTCAGCCTCAGCCTCAGCCTCAGCCTCAGCCTCAGCCTCAGCCTCAGCCTCAGCCTCAGCCTCAGCCTTCAGCCTCGGCCTCAGCCTGCCTCAGCCTCAGAGCCTCAGGCCTCAGCCTGCAGCCTCAGCCTCAGCCTCAGCTCAGCCTCAGCCTCAGCCTGCCTCAGCCTCAGCCTCAGCCTCAGCAGCAGCCTCAAGCCTTCAGCCTCAGCCTGCCTCAGCCTCAGCCTGCCTCAGCATTCAGGGGGGAGGAGCCAAGCCTTCTGCCTCAGGAATGGAGTTCTGGGAACTCGAAGAACACGAAGTGGCCTACAGTTGGCTCCGGGCATTCAGAATCATGCCCAGGAATGGAGTTCTGGGAACTCGAAGACCACGAAGTGGCCTACAGTTGGCTCCGGGCATTCAAAATGTGGCCCAAGAATAGTTTTCTGGGAACACAAAGAACACGAAGTGGCCTGCAGTTGGCTCCGGGCATTCAAAATCATGCCCAGGAATGGAGTTCTGGGAACTCGAAGAGCACGAAGTGGCCTGCAGTTGGCTCCGGGCACTCAGAATGTGGCCCGGGAATGGAGTTCTGGGACCTCGAAGACCACGAAGTGTGTAACTGTTCCCTTAAAACGACTTCCGCGGCTTCTCCCCGGCACCCGCCCAGACCCCCCTGGGGAGTCAAGATGCTCTCTTTTGACACTACTAGAAACCTATCAGTCTTCGCTGTTAGGTAAAATAAAAAATATCCCGGCAAAGCAACCTAACAGCGATATGTAGGAGCATATCTGGAAGCATTCCCCTTAAGATTCAGATGATAATCCAGTTGTAGAATTCTGCTGTTCTCGCTGTCGCAGTCGCATTCGCGATGACAGTCGCAGTGGCAGCGGCAGTCGCAGTCACAGCCTCAGACTCTGCCTGCCTCAGCCTCAGCCTGCCTCCTCAGCCTCAGCCTGCCTCAGCCTCAGCCTCAGCCTGCTTCAGCCTCAGCCTCAGTCTGCCTTCAGCCTCGGCCTCAGCCTGCCTCAGCCTCAGCCTCAGCCAGCCTCAGCCTCCTGCCTTCAGCCTCGCCTCAGCCTCAGCCTCAGCCTCGCCTCAGCCTCAGCCTCAGCCTGCATCAGCCTCAGCCTCAGCCTCAGCCTGCCTCAGCATCAGCCTGCCTCAGCCTCAGCCTCAGCCTGCCTCAGCCTCAGCCTCAGCCTGCTTCAGCCTCAGCCTCAGCCTGCCTTCAGCCTCGGCCTCAGCCTCAGCCTGCCTCAGCCTCAGCCTGCATCAGCCTCAGCCTCAGCCTCAGCCTCAGCCTCAGCCTGCCTCAGCCTCAGCCCTCAGCCTCGGCCTCAGCCTCAGCCTGCCTCAGCCTCAGCCTGCATCAGCCTCAGCCTCAGCCTCAGCCTGCCTCAGCCAGCCTGCCTCAGCCTCAGCCTCAGCCTCGGCCTCAGCCTCAGCCTGCCTCAGCCTCAGCCTGCATCAGCCTCAGCCTCAGCCTCAGCCTGCCTCAGCATCAGCCTGCCTCAGCCTCAGCCTCAGCCTGCCTCAGCCTCAGCCTCAGCCTGCTTCAGCCTCAGCCTCAGTCTGCCTTCAGCCTCGGCCTCAGCCTCAGCCTGCCTCAGCCTCAGCCTGCATCAGCCTCAGCCTCAGCCTCAGCCTGCCTCAGCATCAGCCTGCCTCAGCCTCAGCCTCAGCCTGCCTCAGCCTCAGCCTCAGCCTGCTTCAGCCTCAGCCTCAGTCTGCCTTCAGCCTCGGCCTCAGCCTCAGCCTGCCTCAGCCTCAGCCTGCATCAGCCTCAGCCTCAGCCTCAGCCTGCCTCAGCATCAGCCTGCCTCAGCCTCAGCCTCAGCCTGCCTCAGCCTCAGCCTCAGCCTGCTTCAGCCTCAGCCTCAGTCTGCCTTCAGCCTCGGCCTCAGCCTCAGCCTGCCTCAGCCTCAGCCTGCATCAGCCTCAGCCTCAGCCTCAGCCTGCCTCAGCCTCAGCCTGCCTCAGCCTCAGCCTCAGCCTGCCTCAGCCTCAGCCTCAGCCTGCTTCAGCCTCAGCCTCAGTCTGCCTTCAGCCTCGGCCTCAGCCTCAGCCTGCCTCAGCCTCAGCCTGCATCAGCCTCAGCCTCAGCCTCAGCCTGCCTCAGCATCAGCCTGCCTCAGCCTCAGCCTCAGCCTGCCTCAGCCTCAGCCTCAGCCTGCTTCAGCCTCAGCCTCAGTCTGCCTTCAGCCTCGGCCTCAGCCTCAGCCTGCCTCAGCCTCAGCCTGCATCAGCCTCAGCCTCAGCCTCAGCCTGCCTCAGCATCAGCCTGCCTCAGCCTCAGCCTCAGCCTGCCTCAGCCTCAGCCTCAGCCTGCTTCAGCCTCAGCCTCAGTCTGCCTTCATCCTCGGCCTCAGCCTCAGCCTGCCTCACCCTCAGCCTCAGCCTGCCTCAGCATTCAAAATTTGGCCCGGGAATGAAGTTCTGGGAACGTGAAGAACACGAAGTGGCCTACAGTTGGCTTCGGGCATTCAAACATCATGCCCAGGAATGGAGTTCTGGGAACTCGAAGAGCACGAAGTGGCCTACAGTTGGCTCCAGGCATTCAAAATCATGCCCAGGAATGGAGTTCTGGGAACTCGAAGACCACGAAGTGGCCTATAGTTGGCTCCGGGCATTCAAAATCATGCCCAGGAATGGACTTCTGGGAATTCGAAGACCACGATGTGGCCTACAGTTGGCTCCGGGCATTCAAAATCATGCCCAGGAATGGACTTCTGGGAACTTGAAGACCACGAAGTGTGTTATTGTTGGCTAAAAAGGGAATCCCCGGATTCCCGCGGCACCCGTCCGGATCCTGCCCAGACCCCCTTGGGGAATCATGATGCTCTCTTTTGACCCCACTAGAAACTTATCACTTTTCGCTGTTAGGTTTTTTTCCTGTTGAATTAAAAATTGGATGGATAGTGAGATCAAAAGCGAGGTCGACAGTGAGGTAGACTGTGACATTGGTTGTGCTCGCGCTGTCGGATCCGCAGGGCGGCGATGTCCCGAGGGTCGTGCAGATCTCGCGGGAACTGGCGATCTCCCCTGGGGCGAACATGATGAGATCGATCGCTGAATCCATTTGTACTACGATTCGCCGTGAGGTCGATAGTGGGATCGATCGAGTGGGATCGAAAGCGGGGACGATAGTGACACAGCATCGCGGCACAACATCACAACATCGTCATCACGCGTCGTCGCCGACTCGAGGGCGCGTCACCAGCATCGTCATCATCACACCCATCGCATCTTCCAGCAGTCGGTTCCTTCCTCCCCGACCCCCCAACCTCCCCATCACCCGAGAGATGCTCGTCTAGGTATCATACATGCCAGAGCACCGATGGCCCGCGCCCCGGGCCAGGACACCCTCCCGGACTCCTCGCCCCACTCGGGTGCTGCTAGAAGTGCCCTCGGGCCAAGGTGCCCCCAGGATTTCCAGGGAGGCCCCCACGGCCTCCGGAGCACCCTCCACGAGGCTCCGAGGGCCCCCGCGGCGTCGAGAAAGCTGGGGGCACCTTGGGCCAGGGGCACCTCCAGCAGCCTCCCGCCCACCTCTCCGGCACCGAGCAGCTGGACACCCCTGGGACTTGCCTCGGGCGTTTTTGGACGCCTTTGGGCGGCTCTTCTGGACACAAGAACAGCACCAGAATGACCTCAGAGGGCCCCAAGACGGTCCAAGCAGCTCCGAGAGTGGCCAAGATTGCCCCAAGAAGGCCGCCAAGACGGCCCCGAGAAGCACAAATTGGTGATTGTCGGTCGGTTTCGTTTCAGGTTTAAAAAGACCTCGCCTTTTCAGGGTTGCGACTCTCCACGACGGCCCAAGAGGCCGCCACGATCGCCCCAAGATGCCTCCCAGAGCGCCAAGAGAGCTTCAGGACGGCCCAGGAGGCTTCCGAGAGGGCCCAAAATCCGCCCAAGGCGGCGAAGTCGAAGGCTCCCCAAGAAGGCTCCTACGACCGCCGAACGTGCCCCCAAAAGGCCTCTCGGAGGCTCCGATGACTCCCCCGAGAGGCCCCAAGTGACCCC